GAGTGCCACATAACCAAGAAATTCCTGAAAATCTTTATCATTCGGTTATATCCTCGAGCACGATATGGCTACTCCAATAAGGAATTTTCAAGAATGTGAAATAATTTATTTATTTATTTAGTGTTCTGTCTGACGACAGGTCCATATGAACAGGATCCTTCCATCCTTTTCTCGGACTGGGACCTGTTCATATACGTTCTTGGCAGATGATCCAGAAGTGGTTTGCCATTGCCTTCTTCTGTGTGTGAATGGAGTAATTGTTGGGATGCCACGGAGGAAAACTCCGTGTTGTCTAGACCACGGCCTTGCCCAACACAAGTTATAAATTCGGGCACCGACGGGAATCGAACCCGAGACCCCAGGATTACAAGGCCAGCGTTCTAACCGCTAGACCACCGTGGCCGTTGTGAAATAATATCGATATATAAATATCACGTAACAATATTGGAGCGATTAAAATAATAACAATGAGATGAGTAGTTCATGGGTCAAAAGATGGCGACAGGAATTGGGGTTTTCACGTCCGTGAGTCCGAAGATGGCTGTCTTCTGGTTTGCAGCCCTGACGATGGAAGCAGCAAGGACCTCTGTAACATCGGTAAACTTCTACCAGACTACAAGTCGCAACAACCCAGAAGACAGCCACCTTCAACTGAAATTTCTTTGACGCAGTAACTATTTAAATGTCATTTAAATTACTTTCACCTTCAAAGGACTAACCCCAACTCTGTTAGTATCTTGATTATTGTAAAAGCAATAATCAAAAATTGTCTATCAATTTTGTTACTGATTCACGTTTGTAATTATCACCACGTCTGTTTTAAAATCTGAACCTTTTTCTGGTCTAGCGGTCAGAACACTAGCCTTGTAAGCCTGGGGTCCCGGGTTCTATTCCCGGTCGTGCTCAAATTTATAACTTGTGTTGGGCAAGGCCGTGGTCTAGGCAACACGGAGTTTTCCTCCGTGGCATCCCAACAATTACTCCATTCACACACAGAAGAAGGCAATGGCAAACCACTTCTGGATCATCTGCCAAGAACGTATATGAACAGGTCCCAGTTCGAGAAAAGGATGGAAGGATCCTGTTCCTATGGACCTCTCGTCAGACAGAACACTACAAATAAAAAATCGCAGTAAATCTCTAGATTTATATTCAGAGGCTTAAAATCATAAAATTTTCTTGTCTAAACAGAATAGGGAACACGTAGACTTCCTTGTTGATGACGACAAAACGGCATGTAATATAATTTACTGGTTTACATTACGACCTACATGAAGTATCTTTAAATGTGGAAAAGGTTGTGTGTGTGTGTGTGTGGGATGCGAAAGATATGCCTCTCATAACGAGAACCTCGTCTTAACGGAGTACAGCCCATTACTACAAACGAGGCTTTGTCCAGCGAGTCAGAATTCACATTACGCCAATCTGTAGTTCTAGAATTTTAGTTTGAATTTTTAACTAGTCGCGACTAGCCAGAGTAGTTATCAATCCAATTACATGAAACTAAGAAAAATAAACTTGGCAAGTTAAGTCCAGGATACCGTATCAATGTACATACATCATGTAACTTACTTAACTTAAGATAGAAGTGAATGCAGGCCCGTGTTGACGATAAGATGATATGGAACATCAAAGTTTGCTAAGACTGTCTTATAAGCACGAGCTCACAGCATACAGGCTGACAAAGAAAGATTTCCAGGGATGCTTCCAGGCTTGGCAGCGGCGCAGGGATCGTTGTGTTCACTCCCAGGGGAACTACTTCGAGGGTGATGGATGAATTTAATACCTGAGATAAGTGTATGGGTTTTTATACGCGCAGTCTTGAAACTTTCCGATCGCACCTCGTATTATACCCACTCGCATGGCATGCTATCCTTCTGGGGAATCTGCAGATGTTTTTTCTAAATTTATCACAGAATCTTTGTCATTTCTGAAGACTAGGAAACTTTTTGTTCTAGTCCAACGCGTCTCAAGCTCTTTTTTGGTACTTCGTCTGTAACTGACATTTACAGCTCTTTTAAATTAGGTTAAAATAAAAATTAATTTTTACAGTTGACAAAACAATTACAGAATATTCCAGACAAGAAAATACAACTTCTTTCAATTCTACTGGAATCAGATGTGCACTGAAATGCCGGATGAATTATGATGCCCTGCGGCATGTCTGAACAGGTCACAAGATGACTCAGCACGTCTGACCGACCGTCCAGCGTTGCACGAGACCAATAACTTCGTCGTGCTATTTATTGACAAGACTTCACCTATTCACTCTATCAAATAATGAATTTCCGTCTCTTCCAAAAAATAATTAATCTTTTACAGTTTGTTAACGAATTTCAACTTCTACCATATTAACATTTGATTTTTAAAATCATGCGTGTCTCATTAAGGGTAGTAAAATTCTAATTTTTTTTCTGTCCATAATTCTGTGTTCTTATCTCCCTGATATATTTCACCACTGGTTTAGGAAATATTTTTAATAATTTCAAAATATGATCCCACGAAAAAAAAATATTCACGCAACTACGATATCCTAAGTGTTCTTTTGATACAAAATTAACTTATTTTCGAATACTGTCTCCTACGATTTTGCGCCGTGTATTGTGGATGACATTTACTGACGTTTCAGAAATCCTTGCTGCCTCCATCATCAGGGCATCGCAACAGAAAGGCATAAATTTAAATTTAAATTTAAAATTAAATAGCATCAGACGAAAATCAGTGCAATATCAGTAATTTATTTTTGTTCTCAGAAATGTCTCTGGAATAATAGAAGAGATGAGTTTGGATGAAGAAACTTTCTTAACAATACTTTTATTTTATTTCAAATTTAAACCTGACAGTGACGTAGTCGTGCGTCATATTTGAAAGTCCACCATTTCGACTACTGATACGCAGCCATATAGTTGGAACTAAATTGTTACTGATTTGCGATAGCATTTACGATAAAATTCAGGGGTCATAACTCGAAACAGACCTTGAAGGCTTCCTAAAACACAATTCTCAATTTATTAGTCTATGCGCTCTCAAACCTATGTTGTCGTTCATCGCTAAGAAAGTTCTGAAATTAACATAACACAGTTAAACAAACGAATATACGAGGCGCGTCCCAAAAGTAAGTTTCCCTGGGGCCGTTTACAGAAACAAAACACAATTTCATGGAAATATTTATTGCAACAGATACAGCAAGTGTCGAGCTATTTTTCAACATATTCGCCACCGGAATTGAGACATTTGTCATTCCGTGGGACCAACTTTTGAATACCTGTGTCGTAGAAGTCTGCCGCCTGGGATTGGAACCACTGTGTGACAACCATCTCCGCCTCTCTGTCATTCTCAAAACGCTGACGCTGACTGGACAGGAATTTCTTGAGGTGTAGGAAAAGATGGAAATCACTGGGAGCGAGGTCCGGGCTGTAGGGTGAATGATTAAACACCTCCCAGCTGAACTCCTGCAGGAGACTTGCTGTCCGTCGAGCCGTGTGCGGCCTAGCGTTATCACTGACCGCACTTCACAGTCGGCGGGAGCTGGAATAAGAACCTCCATCTTCAACAGCTGCAACGATGCTACTGTGAGAACGCGGGAAGTGCCATTAGTGCATGCGCCATGCTACGTCATTGCTCTATCACGTACGCACAGTCGCTTCGCGCAATATAAGGTTTGCTAGCTGTGGGACGAGTGGGAAACTTACTTTTGAGACGCGCCTCGTATAAAAAAATATATTCACAATTAAACCAAGAACAGAGATAAAGCTGTAAAAACTTACTTAAAATCAGGTGCAAATGGATTACGCTGTTCTCATGATGTAAGTTTTGAAAATTTCAGTTTTCTGGAGTTAAATCGTTCTGTACTTGTTTGTGGGCTCATTATAATCTGAAACAGACAAACAAAATGCTATGTTGATAAATCAGGTATTTTCCTTATAGAGAACATGCAAAGTCGTGTTACAATATTATTTAACTCATTCCACAAACAAATGCTATTGAATCACAATAACCTACATACGATTAGCAAAGCGTCTTACAGCGGACGATTTAAGTTAGTGTCGTAACATTAAAATGGTTAATTACCATATTAAACATTAAAAAGAATAAAATTTCAGGGCTTTACATCAGATGTCACTACTGACGTTTCCACCTCAGAAATTCTCACGACCGCTATAATGTTATTACAGATGTTAGGAAATTTAAAATTACAAAAACAAGATGTTCATCAGAGGTATAAAAATGCCAATAAAAATTTTATCATTACCCTGATAATGGCGGCAGTAAGTTCCTCTGAAACGTTGGGTAATATCTACCAGAATACATGGCGTTTGAACCCAAAATACATCCAGTTCATTTGTTCATTATTTCGAAAGCCACCAAGAGTGAGAGCAGATAGACGGATACAAATCATATATTTCCTTATACAACACGGAAAGTAAGCTCCAAATTGGGTTATTTTCACAATTTGATTAAGTCCTAACTCTGCGATTTATGAGTTGTATTGGCGACAAGAAATGCGTTATTTATTTTTGGTTTGCTGAGAAAACGTTTAGAATTAAGAAAATACTATGAACACTAGGGCATAATATCAATAATAATAATAATAATAATAATAACCACTACATCAATAATTCAATTCCTATATTTGAGATTTTGACAACAGCAAAATTGAGAAACAGGTAAGCACCAAATAAATTATTTTATTTATTTATTTAGTGTTCTGTCTGACGACAGGTCCATATGAACAGGATCCTTCCATCCTTTTCTCGGACTGGGACCTGTTCATATACGTTCTTGGCAGATGATCCAAAAGTGGTTTGCCATTGCCTTCTTCTGGGTGTGAATGGAGTAATTGTTGGGATGCCAATGAGGAAAACTCCGTGTTGCCTAGGCCACGGCCTTGCCCAACACAAGTTATAAATTCGGGCAAAATAACTAAAAAATTCTTCGCCATTTGACATTGATTCAAGAATAACAGGATCCATTAGCCTTAAAGTGTTTTTATTTTTATTTAATTAAACACGATAATGATCTTATTCGTAAGAAGTAAGTTAAACCGAATGTTCTCCCTGTAGGATACGAAAGATCTACTTCATGACGTCACAGTTTAAATCTCTTTAACATCCTCAGTAGAATAACAATTGGATTTGAGAAAGAAAATAAAATAATTATAATTTGACAAAATGAATTTAGATATAAACACTGGCATTTGTAGTACGACTTTGGGTGGTATGTATTATGTCCTCTACCAAGGACGAAAGTTGTACAATAAGAAAACATTATTCGTTCAACAGATCTAGTTGCTAGGCGACGTCACTCTTCCTTATATTAATTAATCTGAGACTTCAGCGACCTTACCGGGTTTGCCCGCCATAACCCCATTAGGTAGTTAAGAAAACTGCTGTGCATGGTGATTCGTGCCGCGCTCACTGGAGGCTCTGGTGTCTGACATTGATTATCTGGTTGTTATACGATTGTACCGCTGCTGTCCTTAGCGCTGCGGTCAAGAATGAGTAGGAGTAATGCCTCCCCAACAGCCCAAGGGCGTCCTTAGCGCGTAGCAAGAATTTTTTATTTTATTAGTCCACTTTAAGGAACAGGACAACAGATGGAAATATAATATACTAATAATTTGAAAGACAGATCGTGTTTTTATGTTCTGCGTCACCTTTTGACTGCCATTAAGCCATTGTAAATACAGTGCAGTGGAGTTCGACCTTCCAGTAGGGAATAATTGCAATTGACGTAATGACTGAAATTGGTGTGTGACAGGAAGTGGGCGATAGGTGGAAAAACTAGAGCGATCCCATAATTACGAACGTCAATGCACTTTTTAATCGTGACATTTTTATTTTGGTTTGTATGTAACTGTTTTTGTCGTTCCCTAATTAATATCTGTGGGCAAAATAATCTTGACTTTTATATCTGAGTTTTATGGGCCTCCCCGATCCAAGGCCAGTGGTTACTCTGGGATACGGAAATGTTCATTCAGCAAAACGTATTGGTATTGAGTATGAAGATTTCTGTCTTCTGTGTTGTTCCGCCGTGTAGTTTTCTTCTTCATCTCCAAGCCCAACTTGCTAGTGAGAAGTATCCTCTTCTTGACGAAAGCTGCCTTGGCCATGGCTATCCTTGCTTTTACTTCCTTGGTGCATAGGGCGTCCGTCGTGATTATGCTTCCCACGTACTTGAAATGCTCCACATTCTCCATCTGTTTGTTTCCAATTACAACGTTCAATGGTTCTGCTCTCGGTGCTATCCTCATTACCTTTGATTTTTCAATGTTGATTTCCATTCCATACTCTCTACCTGTTTCCACTAACTTGTCCATCATGTTCTGTAATTCCTCCTCTTCCTTCGCCTTAAGGGACATTAAAAGCTCTTAGTGGAAGAAACATAAATCCCACTTGAATTACCGCCTTCTTTCTGTTGGCATGAAATCTCCAGCGATAAGTTCCCCATTAAACATTTCACTGATACGCTACACACAGAGATTCCTTCATTTTCTGTTGACAAAGGACGGGCCGGTATTTGACAGGGAGGAGCGTGTAGGTTGCACCTGTCTTGTAAACGGAAGTAAGAAGCTAAATCCAACAAGCTACATTCTTAATACTCCACGACGCCATTTCGAACCATCAACTTTAACGAATTTAGATGGACGAATCAATTTAACCAATAATTAAGATGTAGGTATCGAACCCTGATAAAATAAATATGAACTTAACAGTGTTTAGGAAAACAATATCTTTTGTTCTGTATACCAAACGTAACCTACCAAACTCAAATCTGTTTGTACTTAAAATAGATGGTATATATAATTACCATAACGGTATAAATATCGAGCTGTTTTACATACCATTAACTTATTTCTTAAATCGATCAATTATGTCCACTTACAAGCTACATAACACGTGTTATCTTCAAAACACTGGTATCGTTAACTATTTCCGAATTTTTATGGCGAATAATTATAATTTATTCACTTTATCCATACGAGAAGCTGAGAATAGGGAAAACTGGAGAGCTCTTTTTGGGCAGAACAATGGACCTGTCGTCAGACAGAACACTAAATAAATAAATGATGGCCACGGTGGTCTAGCGGTTAGAACGCTGGCCTTGTAATCCTGGGGTCTCGGGTTCGACTCCCGGCGGTGCCCGAATTTATAACTTGTGTTGGGCAAGGCCGTGGTCTAGGCAACACGGAGTTTTCCTCCGTGGCATCCCAACAATTACTCCATTCACACACAGAAGAAGGCAATGGCAAACCACTTCTGGATCATCTGCCAAGAACGTATATGAACAGGTCCCAGTCCGAGAAAAGGATGGAAGGATCCTGTTCATATAGACCTGTCGTCAGACACAACACTAAATAAATAATAAATAAATCCATCTACAGGGTTATCTTAAAACGTGACGTTTCTGAAATTGATTCTTTTCCGTCTTCAGACATGGGTGGTATCTAATCCGAAGGGTCCATTTAATAAATATATTCCGTCATTTCCCACTGTTAAGACGATGGATAACGCAAAAGATATTGTAAATGTCACCAACACAATTTTGCCCATGCGATAAAATTTAACGAAAGGTTGACAAACTAACAGCTTTGCCTCGTTCCTTCAGGGAAATAACAGTTTAAGGCGTTCTATTTACAATGCAGTCCCAACTATTAATATTATAGACAAACACCTTCACGCATAAAACTATTAAACCAATGACAATATTGAATTATTACAGCCGTGTCCTGCTTAATACCTCTAAATTCATGCAAAGAACACGTGAGGATGTTATGTGTATTCTACTATAGAATACACTTTATAAAATTAAAATTAATTTTAAGTTGGGGTCGGTTCTTGCAAGATCTTTCAGCTCCTGACAAACGAGAAGTCGATTCTGCTTCTGGTCCTCAGACAACCAAAACGCCCGTAACTAAGAAACAAATGCTAATTCGATGATGCCGGCTGGCACACTGATTCACTATGAATGTAGGCCGCACCCCCTAGCGGCAGAAGCTCGTACTACATCCGGTTCGCCCTCTATTGACACAGTCTTGAAACTTTCCGATCGCACCTCGTATGTATAATCAGTACAGGAAATGCTTTATGAAGTTCACCAATTCATTAATGACTTAAAAATACAGTAGTATCATTCGGTTTCCATGAAATGGAAGTTAGTCCATATATTCTTAGACATCGCCAGTATAAATGTAAAAGTACTTTACAAGCAAAGCAAAAGTGATATTACCCACTCACTGGGCAGACCTCATAACCATTTTGAACATTCTAAAGCTCCTTGTTCAGCACCGAACCCCGGTCAGAAAAGTCGAATTATTCTAAATTTGGGATGAATGAGTTCGTTCACTGACAAAGTTGAACGTAACTGTATCTCCCGGCTCTCGGCTGGAACGGCATGATTCACCGCCAAGCATTACAAAGTTTTCCCGATACGAGTTGAGTACCGTTCTGTAAAAGAAATAAGATCTTATCAAAATAATAGCAGTTCCTGCCGGAAACCGGGAACTGGCATTTGCTTTCAACTGTCAGTGAACGCAGTGTACCTTGTATCCCTGAGCTAGGTTGCTCAAAAGCAGCTCAAACTTCGATAACCATACCTTCATGAGGAATACGAAGTTATCATTAACTACGAGGTGCGATCGGAAAGTTTCAAGACTGCGTCAATAGAGGGCGAACCGGATGTAGTACGAGCTTCTGCCGCTAGGGGGTGCGGCCTACATTCATAGTGAATCAGTGTGCCAGCCGGCATCATCGAATTAGCATTTGTTTCTTAGTTACGGGCGTTTTGGTAGTGCATTACACCGACCCTCCTGCGCTTTCGGAATGGCGTGTGCATCAAATTTTGCCAAAGACTCGCCAAAACGGCTACGGAAAC